TACCCACTCAACGCTTCCTTCCGTCTGGCCGAAGGACCCCTGATCAGCATTGATTGCTCCTTCTAAGGAGGATTGACTGTCAGCTCGCCCTGACCATTTGTTCCTCTCAGGCTTCTATTTAGAGCCTGTCGAATGAGTCCCTGTTATACGAGAACAGTGGGGGGGTCCGCTCTGTGTTCTGTTGCTTGTCCTTGTCTTTCCCTGTGTGTCCGGTCCTCTTTTTGTTGATCAGCATGCAGAACCTTTTGCCAGGTCTCCCGGCATGTACCCTCGTGGTCTTCATGATTCTGCCTGGTGCCATTTCTTCCACGTCAGTCTATTGTCTACTATCGTTGCCACCTTGCCTTTTAGCAGCCAGATCCTCATGAAGGTTCGTTTTTTGGTTGCTTGTCTTTCTGGTCTGTGTCTCGTAGAATTTGCTATTCTCCGCCATCTGCTCCTGATTTCCATCTCTGCCATGCTCAGCAGTAGTGACCACATTTCTTCTCTTGCCACCTCTGTTCCCTCGATTGTCTGAGTGCATCTGCGTTTCCATATCACCCACAGTGCTAGCTTCCTGAGTAGGATGAACCACGCTTCCCTGCGGCCTGTGATGTTGCTGGGGATGTTAGTTAGAAGTAGGATAGAGATAGGGGGGGTGTTTGGGGGGGGGAGGGGGGCAGCGAACAGGATCGACCATAGCTCGAAGGATCTTCTTCCATATCCAGATTGCGTCAGGGCAGAAGAGGAGGCAGTGGGGGATGTCTTCGGGTGAGTCGTTGCTGCACATTGAGCAGCATGCCGAGCTATCAGGATCAGAATGTTTCCTTCTCTCGTGTAACCATTGGTTGACTGGCAGGGCTGCATGTGCTATTAGCCATTGCACACTTCGGATTCTACTTGGTCTGATGAGAAGGCATTTGGTCCATGTGATGGTGATGGGGGTCGTGGTATCTAGGTTCAATATAGTTCTCCATTTCTCTGCCAGCCTTGGGTTCGGGTCCCTGATTTGTAGTCCGAGGTTATACCCGAACTTTACGTTGTATTCTGTTATCCTTTTCGATTTACTGGCGGCGTCCAGATCCCAGATCCATTCCTTTGGGTCGAATTCCAACTCGTTGACGTTGAGTTCCGGCTGGAATATAAACCAGGGTGTCTTGTGAGAGACTCTAACATTCCTGAGGAGGTAGGTTTCTATTTGTTCGTTCTGTGGTGTTTTGTTTAGGATCTCTAGTTCATATAGGCCGTGTTTGATGATGGGGTGGCATGCGAACTTGGGCTGGTAGTTGGTTGAGTCTGGTTTTGACACAAAACGGTAGGCTTTCGTTGGTGGGGTCTGTGTGGTGAGCAGTCCCCAGTCTGGTTTCCACTTATGTCTCTTTAGGAGGGTCGTCCAGCTCCGTGGAAGGTTCTAAAGGTTGGGTGATGATAAGCTTGGTCCCTCGTTTGTGATAGACGTGCCCCCTCATCTGTGCACGCATCCGGTCTTTCACGTGTCTAAGCTGTTCCGCGATGATAAGTTTGGTCCTTCACTTGTGATAGACATGCCCCCTCATCTGCGCATGTATTCGGTCTTTGTTTCCGTATCTTGCTCTTACTTCTTTTGATTACCATGAGCCTATGATCTCTCGTGCAATTAATGGTGGTCACGAGATAGACAGAATTGTACAGCATACTGGGAAGGGACGTGACAGAGTATCAAGTTCACTTTACATATCACCTGCTGGACGATCTTTACTGGACTGCAAAGAAAGAGTTGCTGCAGAGCGCACCTCGCGTTGTCAAAGCTTATGAGCGACAGAGTTTTCGGTACTGATCTGGACCCAGTAATCTCTGCGAAACTCACTGCTACTGAGCATACACGGAATCTCTTTGCTATGTTTGCTTATGATGTGATTGGCAGGGGCGCAGATTGAGTTACACGCTCGAGAGGGGGGGGGGTGTAAGGACCTGCCAAAACACGGACTGAGAACACAGCTGATTTATGAGTTTTGCCGCTGGAATCAATGCCTTGTTGAGATTCCCGCTTTTTGCTGAGTTTTCTAAGTCTGTGTGTGTGCGTGTTTGCTGGTCGTCGTGCCTGTCTGAGTGCTTGTCGGCCTGAGTGTGTGTGTGGCCTGCCAGGGCACTTGTTTGTTTGGGAGGCCTGTAGGGCCGGTACTTACCTGTGGCCGTGACTTAGGGGTTGCAGTGGGGAAAAACACTAAAGTGGCCGAAGGGGTAGCTTACTTAGGACACACTCAAGTAGCAGTAGTGTAGGCCCGCAGGTACTAGAGATGCGATAGGCTGAGCACAAGAAGACAAAAAGTTAGTATTTTCAGAGGCCCAGTAGCGGTAGGCTAGGTCTAGGCGGGCACCAGTCCAAGTAGCCTGAGTTTAGGGCCAGTACGGATGATATCAGAGTCTGCAATGATGTTTCCCTCCAAAAGGGAGGAGGTACCGGTTGCTTGGAGGCTGGGCGGCCTGGAGGTCACCGCTCAAGAAGCAGGTTGTGCGCTATATCTCCAGGAGGAGCAAAAAGCTCTTCTTCATTTTGCTGCGTGCAAGTTTGGCGTCACCCTGCTGGAGCGCCTGGAGGAGCGTTGGTGTGCAGTGCCGTAGGGGAGAGGAACGCCCAGCTCTCCCCTTTGGCTATGGTGGAGGGGCTCGGGTAGGAGGAGCTCGGGTAGCAGGAGGGAGAAGGGACTAGGAGAGGGAAGCGCCAGGGGGTACTCACCTGGCTATGGTGGACGCCATCTTCATCACCTTGGTGGGCGCTGCATCTGGAAGGCCCCAGTTGGGGTAGCGCTGCTTCAAGAAGCTTCGAGGCAGAGTCAGGTATTGCAGCCTGAGAGAAAGAGGCCATTGCTGCTTTGCATTGTCTTCTGCACGTGAGGGCAAGGCCCTTAGTATTCTGCCATTGCCATAGCCTACGCCTGGATGAAGAAGAGACGGGAGGGTGACCATGGCTATGTGGACGTCTTGTTGTGCTGGCAGTAGAAGAGGGATTCGGACATTGATTCTGGTTCAGCCATTCATCATCATTGTTCTTATTATTTATTGTGTGAATGAGAGAGGAGGAGATATGGAGGAGGAGTTGGTTGGGGAAGAAACGGGAATTGTCATTGGTCTTTTGCGGGTGTACATCTTCTTCTTCTTCTTCTTTCGTTCTTCTTCTTCTTCTTCTTCTTTACCTCTCTCTCCTCTTAACTTCTTAAGTTCATTCATTTATTTTGCAATTGAATGGCATTGTACTTTCTTGTGAATTTGCACTTCGAAATTGGCCAGGATCATAACAAAGAAAAGAAAAGGAACTGCACTGATGGTTCCCAGGATAGAAAGGAGGCAGGACCCAAAAAGAAAAAGAAAAAAGATCGTTACTGCATGAAAATTGATGAAATCCTATCCTCACCTTCATGTCCCATCCTTCATACACATTTGTGTCCATCTTAGAATGGTGTTTGGCAGCACTGATAGTTGTCCTCCCTTCTGGATTCAAAATGATAATATCAGCATCAGATCCCACTGCAATTGCACCCTTCCTCGGATATATGTTGAAAATCTGAGCACTGAAGTTACATAACGCAAGCACACACACAAATGCACCCCCCCACCCCCACCCCACCCCCACCCCCACCCCCATCCCCTCCCTTTCCCCTCCCACCCACACGCAGACAGCTGTTATTGACAGGGGCCTGAACTAGACACTCTGCTATGATTACATGGTTGGTGTGCGTAAAATCAACCGCTTTTCTCAAGGTAAGTGTTGTTAATTTTGGGCAAAGTGGTGGGTGCGTCCTTATCCATCAGTCAAATGCATCCCATGCAGATTATCGGGGGTTCAACCTCCTGATGAGCTGGTGAAAGTCCAACGAAACAGTCTCTTCGGCACAATCACCTCCAACGAAACAGTCTCTGTCGCAATCACCACACCACATTCTTTGTGGAGTTATGCTTAGCAAATATACAAAACAGTGAGAACACACATAAATTCAAAACACACATAGAGTCACAGCCACATATCAACAATTGACATGCATATTGCTAAGTGGAAGACATGAACAAATGCACAGCACAGCAATGCATGGAGCCACAGCCACATATCACAGCAGCACATGGACTTGAACAGCCTCATATCAATCAGCACACAATACTAGGTGGAAGACATGAATAAATTATTACCATAAAATTGAATGAACTGCACACGTCTGCATGAAGAAAGCACATTGGAGATAGGAGGAGAGAGAGGAGGTGGTGTGTATCCGTCCGCTGGTTTACTAATACACAGTACAGTACGGAACAGTACTTCACTGTCGATAAGCAGATCAAGAGTTTTATAATAGACTCCAAACTTCCAAAGTTTAAAGCCTGTGGGGTGGGACACAATGAAGTTTAAGGCTGCATCCCCTCTGTTGCCCCCCCCCCCCCCCCCCCCCCCCCCTCCCCCCTCCCACCCCGCTTTAATAAGACAGGAGATGCAAGAGGAGAATGAGATGCTCAGCCAATGGGCATGGGAAATGGAAGGAGGGAGCAAGGTGGAAGGGAGGTGGGCGGCAGAGAAGTGCCCCTTTCAAAATACGCACTCGACTAGCACCACTCTTCAGGTGACAAAGGAGATTGCCCCACTGATGCTATGTAAGTGATTGGGGAGCATGAACCTGGATGTAAGAGCAGCCAGGTTCCACTCACAAAATGCAGCAGGCCTTTTTGCTATGGTTCCCCGTTGCAAGTTGCAACTTTCCTTTTCTTTTACCTTCGTTTTTCTGGTTGCAAGAAAAGAGACCCAATAATAATTTGGAACAAGAGGTGTTTCTGCTCCCAACAAATGACCCGAAAGAACACCCTCCCCACCCCCCTTTCATGCTATTCCCCTGCTGTCACACATGAGTCTGAGGATGTCTATATATATGTATGACCCCAAAGAAAACCCACTCCCCCCTTCATGCTACTCCCTTGCTGTCACACATGAGGCTACGAATGTCTATTATGATTATATTATATGTTTGATAGTTTATTATGTTCATAAATTATTAAATTATAACTTCATCTGACTCACCATGCAGTGCTGGTGATGCGAACGTAGTCTGATGGTGTGATTTTCCCAGAGTTCTGCAGGGTGGACAAAATGAGAGCATCCGTCAAGACAAAGTTATGAACACAATGTCAGTAGCATTGAGCCCTCATCCACTGCCAAACAAGGCAATTTATTAATATTTATATATAGTCAAATGTATTGCAAGGAACATGAATATGGACGAAGCACCTGTCTCTTATACACATCTAGATGTGTATAAGAGACAGGTGTGTGTGTGTGCACGCATGCATCCATTCGTGTGCAATTTTTTAAATCCTTTGCTCAAGGGAGCATCCTTGGGTTTCACTAAGCAAATAGTTTGTCATGGCTTAACCACTAATGCTTCAACCAGCCATGTTTCTCCGATGCGGGCATTAACATGTTGCAAGTTTCGCGAATTGGCCTACAGGAGCAAAATGGCTGGCAGCGGCAGCCAAAAGGAGACCCACAACCGTTCTTTTCTTTTGCGGTGCGCAGGGCGTTTCGAGCCTCGGGGAAAAGAGCCTTGTAAGTACTGGTGCTTTAAGATGACCGGGTAACACGTGCTCGAGATGTAGCGAGTGCGTCCATATCCTCTCTCTCTTTCTTTTTCTCTCTTTCTCTCTCTCTGCATGTATGCATCTGTGTGCACTTGTTTAAATCCTTTGCTCAAGCGCACATCCTTTTGTTGCAAGGTGAACAGATTGTGGTGCTTAAGATGAGCGGGTAACAAGTGCTCGAGATGTAGCAAGTGCGGCCGTATCCTGCTTTTCCAGCCCGTGAAAGAGAGGTCCGAAGGGCTGCATGGGAAGGTAGCGACCAGATCCAGGCTGTACCTTCAATTCATCGTTCTCCCAAACCACCTCTCCCCTCCTTATTGTCACCTCCACCTTTCCCTGCACAATTGCCAAGCAACACATGCCAGTACAATTATAAACAGTGAATCAGCTGATAACGGGTAGGCCGCTAGAAGGGGGGAAGGGGAAGGGAAGAAAAGAGAGAGGACCAGCTGACTTTGTCCCCACGACTGCGGCAGGCAGAGAGAAAGCATTTCGTGTTTGTGGTAATTCGTTCGTTTGTGGCATGCAGATGATGCAGCTGAAATCTGGGTTAGGGATAAAGGGCTCTGGGGGCCTAGGACCATGGAGTAGTCGTAGAAAGGTACAGTCTGAGGAGGACAGCGACGGTGCAAAGTTGCAAACGCCTCATAAGAGCCTGACGATCGCCCCCTTCCCCTCCCGCCACCTTGTGGGTCAAAACTACTTGAGAGTTTGGGAGAGAGCATCCCACAAAAGAAACTTAAAGCCACCAGCAGGTTTCCCAGCCAAATTTCTTGGACATGGCTATTCATGTGCTGCGAATTTCGGGGTTGAGCTGCTGAAGTGAAACGGCCACACACGCAAGCCAAAATGAAAGAATTCCGCACTGGCCCCGGTTGGCAAACTCAGGGTGCAATAGAAATTGCCCTCGGGAAAAAGAGGCTCGTAAGTACCCGTGATTGCCCTTCAAGATTTTCGGAGAGAGAGTCCCACAAAAGAAGCTGAAGCCCAACGTCAGCGAAGAGGCGAAGACACCCCCCCTCATCTATAATCCGTCGATAAGGAGCAAAGGGACTCACCCTTGGATGCTCACCTCTATACATCAGAGACAGATGTCATGCGTGGGGAAGGGAGTATGGAATGTAGGATAGTTATGGGTTGATGCGACAAGGGACAGGAAAAGCTTGGACCATATGTGGTGTGTGGTAATTTGGCAGATAATTTGCTACATGTAACACAAACGGGCTTGCCACACCACTAGCCAAGCACAAAGATTTTGAAGGCATAAGGACCAACAGCCGGTCCAGAGACATTCAAAATGTTGGCATTGGCGAGCGGTGCGGCGAGGCCCAAAGTATACAGATAACTGGAAAGAACTGCTAAAAGAGGACTTCACATGGACGGCGGCAACTGGAGTCTACTGAGACAGGAACCTATCCCATTGAAAAGATGTATGTTGTACGGATTTTCACACAGATGCATGCAGTCGGGACAGGCCACTATATTTACTGCCAGCCCCTTAGTATAGTCTATAACATCCTAACAACTCCTAAAACTGACAAGTCATTAGTAATTTACCATCCAGTACCGTCAACAAATTCACTTTTTTTTTTTTTTTTTTTTTTTTTTTCTGAGAACATATTCACTTTAGGGATGGTGCCGTTGGTCCCCCCCAGTGGCATTGAGCAGAGACTGCCGATGTTCATAGGGGGAGGGGACCGGAGGGGAGGCACAGTGACTGGCCCATCGAAGAAGCTCGGTCCTGATGCTACCGGCTGAACCCTGGCCGGTATCGCCCACCTGCTGTAGCAGGTATCGCACCTGCTGGTGGGTGCAGCTCCCGCATGCTCCCTCGTTGGAGGCTTGAGCACAGATGTGGCTGCTACGGGGTTCCCCGTAATACTATAATGACAATAAAAAAAAGGCCTGAACGGCCGTCCTGTCCAGATTTGACAGGTCATTGAATTGGTTGGGCTTAAAGAATTAGACTTAAAAAAAAAAAAAAAGATCAAGATTCGAGACCTTCACGTCGTTAAAAAAGAAATATTGAAAAATCAAACTAAGGGACGCCCCCCTTTAAACCGCCACTACATTTCCCAGGCATGAGACGAGGAAGAGGGGTAAATATATTGAGCATTCTCTCGTTTGCATGCCGAGTTAGCAGTGCTCATTCCTTCCTCACCTGTTAAACCACCAGTACTTGGCCCAGCTATTGATGCCGAGCCGGGAAACGCCCTGCGCGCCAAGTTTTGCCGAGCCGCGTGCGCGTCGTTTCACTTTTCTTGTGGCTGGCGCCTCCAGCCATTGTGGTCCGGTAGGCCGAAGCCCACCAGTTGCGGCGGGTTAAAACGCCCGCGGCCGATGTATGGGCCAAGTACTGGTGGTTTAAGTGGCATTGGCGGCCGGGGGGAGGACGATGGTCCATTCCGGGTGCTTCAGAGTCTTGTCTTTTTTTTTTTAATCAATTTTTTTTNAGGGACACAAGTCCCAAATTATGTGTGTGTGTGTGAGAGAGAGAGAGAGAGAGGGCTTCGTTTTGTGAACAGAGCAAGTTCGTTGCTGCATAACTTCTTTTTCGATGTCTTCTTCTTCTACCACTTCTTCTTCTTCTTCTTCTTCTTCTTCTTCTTCTTCTTCTTCTTCTTCTTCTTCTTCGTTCTCGCCTTCTTCTTCTCCTTCTTATGTAGCCTTGTGTGGTATGGCTTCCTTCATGTTTTGTGCCGCCACTAACACCTCTGCGCCGCCCCCCCCTCCACACCTGAAATGCAGCCCACCATCAACCCATGAATTTCCACACCCCCCCCGGCCCCCAAACCCAGGAATCGTTGTTTTGCAGATCACTGTTTTCGCCGCGGATTCGGGGAGATCTCGACAAGCGCAGTCCAACCCCATCATCAAAAAATAAAAATAAAAAAAATTTGACCCGGTTTTGGCCCCAACCGGATTTCCGGTTGGGCCACCGGGGTTCCAACTGGCCCGGTTGGGTCCGGTCCGGTCCAACCGGCCAGTGGCCGGTGCAGCCCTGTTTTTGTTTCCTTTTCGTTTTCCTGTCGGGTCCGCGAGTTCCCCCCCTCCCCCCCGGGATCGGGTCCGCTGGTTGAAATCGTGGCGCAGGGCAGTTTCGACACGTTCAAAGTTGCATTTTTCGGCATACCGTCGTTGGATGCTGGAAAAAATGCAGCTTCTCGTACGACCCATCTCACAGATGGGCACAATCCGGTCAGGGCGGGTAGCGACGTAGCGTTACACCCAACCAGAAGAAATTTTATAGAAGGCAGTAGATTAAAAATAAACAATGAAAAAGAAAACAGTTAAAAAACCATGGTTATGTGCACAGAGAACATGTAAAACAGTCGAACTTTCTCCTCTCTGGCAAATTCTTGTTTGCCTGGGGTGTCACCCTTCTCGGCTGCAGCGGTAGTAAAGCTGCCACACATTGTCGACAAGTCACTCTCTCCACAGAGTGTCCAGGATTACGCATGTCTTCTAATATATGAAAGATTATCAAACAAATGTTCACAACACTGTACAATCCAACAGGTTACAAAATACCTCTTCTCCTTCTAGAATAACCTGCTGTGTATGAAAGTCTTTCATGTGTCCACTAAAAAAAGCGCAGTCACCTGCAGTAAACAATGCGGCAATTGGAAAGGTTGTATGCGCGCGTACGCCATACACTGTTTGGGAAAACAAAGTAGTTGTGAACAGCATTGTCATCACAGAGTCGATTTCATGGGAGGAAATCCGGTTTGATCATAAAGTCGGAAGCAGTCTCAATTAGGTTCCGATTAACAACAGCATGGGACTCAGGCCTGCCTGAGTTGCCTGCCCTGTTGAGATGGTGATGCTTTTTTCCTGTTCATGTCCACGGAATGCTCCGCCAGAGTGTTTCACTATTCCAGCCTAAAGAATCCGCCTGTCTTCCGTGGAATCTTTGTAATCAGCTCTCTCTCTCTCTCTCTCTCTCTCTCTCTCTCTCTCTCTCTCTCTCTCTCTCTCTCTCTCTCTCTCTCTCTCTCT